GCGCAAGGTCGGTAGTCAGCAAAACAAAATAAAATACAGGAATACAAAAAAAAAATATTTTTTCAGTAGTTTGAAAATTTCGTGTGCAACAGATAGAATGTAAAATTTTTGTTAAAATTTTTAGTATTTAATTTTGATATAAAAATTGCAATTACAACCAATCTCAAAATTGTGCGCACTCTCGCAAAATGACTTTAATACGCTGCAGTCGTTTAATAATCAGAAGATTCTACTGTGCTTGTCCAACTATAAATATTGTAAGCGTCAATACCAGTCCATTACCTTCGTTTAATGAAGAAGCCTGAAAACAAAAAAAAAAACAAAATGGAAGATATGCAATTGTGGAAAATTTCATACTTAATAAGTGTCATAATTTTTTCTCTTGTTCATAAAAAAATATTGATTAGTGCACAATTTATGATTGTGTAATCCAAATCGTATGTAGTGCAATTTCACAACTTGCATGTTGCCAGCTGCTTTGGATATGAATGAGCGCCAAATATATTAAGTGCAAGTTGTCCACTCGATTCAATCAACTAGCGTACCTTTCACCCGCTCATTTATCGCTAGTCAAGGTCAGATTTGTTTGGTGCATTCGGCTGGTTGCAGCCAGATGCACGTGTTTTTGCACCGTCGCTGCAATATGTGTGCATACTCGTGCATACATACATATTTATTTCGTAAATCTGTTTTGTGTCAATGCTGCCAGGTTTTTTCACAAAACTGTAAATTTTCAGAAAAAAACTAACCTTAAAAACAAAAGAGATTTTAAAAAATAAAGTTTTTTTTTCAATCTGAAAATATTCATTTTTAATATAACCATCAACCGTTTAACTAAATAAAAATAGGCCTTGTAAAATGGAACATTTAAATCACATTTAGTTTTATTAAAATCCATTTTTATTATTTTTCGAAAAGTGATTTGTTAGTTTTTTGAGTATTTGATTCGATACCTCCTGAAGCATTTTTCTTAAAGAAATCTGTAGTACTTACATACTTAAAATTCCAGAGAGTGCTGAAATATCTAGTTAATTTTTGTTTCATTCAAATCCATTTGAGAAATTTTAATTTATTCGTTCGAATCGGAAATTCCGAAAAAAAACTGTAATTTGTTCTAGGTGGTAATTTAAACAACTGTAAGCTCGTCTAATGTAATTTACAGTTAAAACTGCGAATCTGGCAACATTGATTTGTTTGGACACTCTCTTAATATAGTAATATATATATACGCGCTGCATTAACCTTTGATTGACCAACAACCAACCGTATTCTGAATACTTTGTCAGGTGTATGGCTGCATATAGGGTTACCAGCTCCGCGAATATTTAATTAATGGAAGAGCGATTAGGTCAGAGGTTTTTTTTCGAAACAACGCAAACCAAAACGGTATCTGTGCTGTTTCTCTGATCGTTCTGTTTGAGTTCCGCTCGCTTATTGCCGTCCCTAAATTGGCACGTCAAGCGCCAAACAACTGTCAAAAATCCTCATGCACGTACAATTTGTATGGAGCATCCCACAATAACGCGGCGCTAGCGCCGAGCAAATAGAATTTTCGTTTTTGACAGGGCGTTACGTGTTGAAGTTGGATGCAGAAGACGGAAAGAAAGAGAAAGCACAAAAGGGTGAAAGAGGAAACGAGATAAAATGAGAAAACGTCAAAAATTACGACGCGTTGATTTGGGGATAGCGCGCGCTGACACTCGTTGACAATGGAAAACGCAACGCTTAGCGCTCCATTTTAGGGACGGCAGTTAATGAAAAATTTGTATGTGAAAGCAAAAACAAAGTTAGCAAGCAGCGTCAACTATCCTAAGATTTGAGGTGCCATATTGAGGTTAAAAAAGTGCCAAGAGAAAAATAAAAGTGCCATTCTTTTTATCTTTACCATTTAGCAATAAGGTAATACCGCATTCCTAAAACTAAAGTGCAGTACCAAAATAAGACAAATCATTTGCATAAACTTTAGATATTAAAAAATTTTAATTGAGAAAAAGGAGTAGCCACACGCAAAAGATTTCACAAAAACGTATTGAAATAACTAATTAAAAAATTAAGTGCCATTTGAAGTAGAATAGGGTCAAAACTAGTACGGTATGAGCCAAGTTGCCTGGCATGTCGGCGAGTTTGGGAGCACGTCATTAGTTTCGTTCGTTTCGCTACTCGCTAAATGTTTTCTCGCATACCGAGCGGTTTGCAGGCATTTTCTAATTTCGCAAAATTCTTCAATTAGCAACATAGTTTATTTTGGTGGAAAATACAAATTTAGCGGGCAAAGCTCAAACCTTATTTTTTACAAATGAAAAAGTATGCCTGCCGTCAAATGCCCAGTCAACAAAACTCTATCTCGCTTGCGAGAGGAAAAGCAGAACGCAAGCGAGATTTTCAAGCATTTGAAGACGGCCGGTTAGATTTGTAGAGAAAACCGGTCTGTGCGTTGTCATTGCCGTCTACATTGACGTACCTACATACATATGTACATATCGTTAGTATAGTGTGGAAAGGGCGTAACTCACATCGTCGCTGAAATACAAAAAGGCGTAACTAACTAAAAATCCAAAATTCACATTTTGATTGATAATGTTGCATGCCATCGAATTATAAGTCCCCACATCGTTTTATGCAATACAATTTTTTAGTTAGTTGTACCGTTTTTGCACTTCGGCGACGATGTGAGANGTGAAATACAAAAAGGCGTAACTAACTAAAAATCCAAAATTCACATTTTGATTAATAATGTTGCATGCCATCGAATTATAAGTCCCCACATCGTTTTATGCAATACAATTTTTTAGTTAGTTGTACCGTTTTTGCACTTCGGCGACGATGTGAGATACGCCCTTACCATACTATACTAACGATATACATATGCTTCAATACTGATGTAGCTCAATATGTATGTGCTCTAATTCATGCATAGTCGGCGACCTACGTTCTTTTCCACATATTCAGACGATAGCGCAATGAGCAGCATTCAAAGAGTCAAAACCATTACGCTCCAGTGTAAAGGCTCTGTTATGCATACTTGGCATTGCTTGAGAGTTGTCACATAAGGAATCTGTTAAATGAGCTTCGCGTGTAAGCGATTACCCAACGCACAGCATTACATACGTAAAAGTCTGTTGGTTTTTGATTTCTACGTAAAAATGGTATAGCAGTGCATGCAATGCCAAGTATGCATAACAGAGCCTTTAGTTTCATAAATTTAGTAGTTTTATTGCCAACGCTTGTGGAAGAACGCACGCGGAATCAGTACCACACAGGCATAGGCATTAAGTATCCAGTTTTTCATGGAAAATGAACTGTGCTACCTGCAAATCGCAAATCTTCCTGTGCATTGGCTGCTTTATGGTGCTAGTAAATACGCCGTCTGTATTAAGCGACAAATCCAGCTGTCAATATGATGTCTTCAAGCCGCTGAAGGCGACCTGTGCAAACGATGTAGCACCAAGTATAACAGTAGTATGAATAATAGGGTATTCATTAAATAAAGTACAACACACGATAACGCCCACAAATTTGCTTAAACATAAAGTTCAAGCGGTTTTTGTCACACAGTGCAAATGTAAGAGGAGTCAACTACCTCCTCCAACTACATTCTTCTATAAAAAAAAAAAAAAACGAAGTCTAGGGAAAATTGTACACTTATTAAATTCTGTCTTTATTTTTAAATTCCAGAGCACTGTGCGCGCAGAACAAAAGGAATTGAATATAACACCCGTTCATAGCGTAAATATTCCTTTTAAGACAGCCACCTTTGGCATGGGATGCTTCTGGGGNCAAATTCCAGAGCACTGTGCGCGCAGAACAAAAGGAATTGAATATAACACCCGTTCATAGTGTAAATATTCCTTTTAAGACAGCCACCTTTGGCATGGGATGCTTCTGGGGTGCTGAGTCGCTGTTCGGTGGTACTAAGGGCATTTTGCGCACCACTGTCGGCTATGAGGGCGGCTCCAAGGATTCACCAACGTACCGTAGCCTGTAAGCGTGTTTTTCAAAACTTGAATTTACTGACTTTGTGTTTTTTGTTCTTTTTTCTTTCTTGCTCCTGTTTTCGTTGTACGAATTCATACGCTCATACATATCTATACTATCTTTTTCTATTTTCCTCTTAATAAACTGTGATTATTAAAAAAACAAAACCTCACCAAAATCACGCACACTAACTAACTTGCTGCATACATTCATAAAAACGTTTGCTGACTCAACATCCTACTTAACATCCTTTTAACTTTACTTCTTTCCGTTTATTTTGTTCGAAATTCAATGCTTCACATTTACTATTAATTATCTATTTATCATGTTCACTTCTTCCCCACTTTTATTTCTGACTTCTAACTTTCTTAACAAACGCTTTTTGCTTTCCGCTTTCCCTCTCACCCGCTGTTCACCTCTAATACTTACTTATGACGACTCTAAACCTCAAAATAGTGGTAACCACACTGAAGTCCTGGAAATTGACTACGACCCCAATGCCATTTCGTTCAAACAACTGTTGGACCTCTTCTGGAACAATCACGAATACGGCCTTACCAATCCAATCAAACGCCAGTACATGTCATTGATCTTGTACCATGATGATGAGCAGAAGAAGATCGCCGAGGAGTCAATAGTTGAAGAGCAAAAGAAGCGTGTACCTGAGAAAATTATTACAGAGATTTTGCCCAAAAGCAAATTCTACCCGGCTGAAGAGTGAGTATCCCCGAGCTTTTTGCTTTCAGAGGTTCTTCGTTCACTCATTAAAATGTTAATTTCTTCCATCAGCTATCATCAGAAGTACCGTCTGCAGGGTCACAAGGATCTAGCGGAAACTCTGAATCTCGATGCTAACCTGCTGCGTACCTCATTTATCGCTACTAAATTGAATGGTTATCTGGCTGGTGTGGGCGGCGTCAAGCAGTTCAAAGAGGAACTCGACACTTTAGGTCTAACACCATCACAGAAGGAATATTGTTTGTATCATGTGGAGCAGAGTGAAGGAACGGGCCTGTACTGCTGACCAGTTGGCCTATCGTCATGTAGCTATCGGCGCCGACTCGGGCCGTTGATCGACGTGAAAAAAGCAGAAATATACTTCTACATGAATTTACTGCTATTTATTTGTTCGAAATTCTTTTGGCTAGACAGTTCTTATCTCAGTGAAGCAGTTCGCTATGTTTTGCTTAAGTAGTTAGTAGGTAGATGCAGACACTATGTGCATACATCTGTAAGCCTTATGTATTATTATTATTACATTATTAAGCATGCAGTGTGAAATTAGGGATTTTGCTGTAAAATTTTAAGTGAGTGTGATAGAAATGTTTAAAAATATGTGTGCTACTATAAAAAAAGAAAAAAAAAACAAGGAAATAATTATATTCTAATTACATAAATAAAATAGTATTTTACTAAAGGAATTGTTTACTTTTATTACTGATAACAATAACAAACAGAGAAGAAAGTTCTCCAATGTTTTTGTTTGTTTTTGGGCCCCACTAGCCCAAACTTCAAGCATCATGTTTGAAAACTTGGCTTGAATCGTAACATCCGTTCACGGATTGAAAACGATACGAAAGAAAATTACGTCATACGTCAGTCAGTTGGTATAAGCTGAATGGGACAAAGGGTACGTTCACGTATGTCATAATCCGAAAAATGTATTTTTACGTGACGAGTAGTACGATATCTTATGTGACGATTCGAGCCCAGATACTAACCAGGAAATGAAATCTGAATAAGGAGGAAGTGGAGAAAGAAGAGCCCTGGATAAATAACTGTTTAGGCAGTCGAAGCGGGTGAAGATTGGTGTCCGATCACGGCATTTATAGGCCGGCCCACTGTCTTGTATGTGGCCAATAACGTTTCTTTACCTTCGCCCCAGGTGCTGCCGGTGAGCGATGACTTTGTACTTTATTGACAATTGCAGTTGTGTTCGCGGAGAAGGAGTTCAGACTATCAAAGGTAGCCTCTAACATGTTCGTGACAAGCGGGATAATTCGGAAAGGTAGCCGTTTACTTTCAAGCAGAGGACTTTCTTCCTCTGACGCCAATCTCGAACACTCATTAGCACATGAAATCAGGGAAACCTCCCTCCAGTTGCTCTTTGGTTTTGATGTTTGATCTCGAAAGGTTACTGACGACTCATGTAATTCGCGAACCACCGTTTGGGTCCTTGCGGGAGAGAGGAATCCTCGATGTCTTCTAGTAGCGTGGAATGACAGTGGTTGTCATTGACAAGTCCAACGCCACTGGAATTGTTCTCTCCCAGGTGCGGTTATGGCTAAGGCCACGAGTTATATGCAGGTTTATGGCGTTAAGCGGCAAGGTGGCAGTGTACACTTTGCGAAAATAGTGATGATGCTTAGCTGGGGTCAGGTGGTAGTAAAGTACGGGAGAAGCAAGGCCTCAAGTGTCTTCGAGATGGAGGAGAGGAGTGTTGTCGACCGCTAAGATCGCCCTTTGTTGGCTGACTTGCCCGGTTCGAGTTTCCCGGTTGTTTCTTACCTTGCGTTTTATATAGAACAAAAAGTCGAGGACGCTCGCCGAGTTCAAGTTGGCTAAATAATCCAGAAAGTACTTGTTGAAGAGTTGGTTGCGCGTGTTGGCCAGGGCGGAACAATGGCAGAGATAGTGTTTGATGCAGCTGCGCCAAAAATCGTTGGTGGGGTATCCTAACCTTTTACCGTGTGTGCCCATCAGGCAGTGTCCGGTGATTACCCCGACTACTAATCTGAGGGAGGAACGGTGCAGCCGAGTAAGAGCTTTGACCAAATTTGCCTGGTAGTATGGCAGGTGGTTTCCACAGCCCACCTGGTGTTTACCTCCTCGATGAGTTCAGCCTTTACTCTGTGTTTACAGAAGGTTAAAGGTATGCCCGCATTGTCAGCAGAATTTACTTCAGATATTTCCGTCCCTCTCCTCGCCAGCTAGTGGGCTAGGCAGTTGCCAGGAATGTCCGTATGACCAGTGACCCATACAACAGTCAAGGAGCATTTTGATGCCAACAGGTTGAGAGTCTTCCTGCATTAAAGTTCTGAACACATTGAAAACGACGAGCTACCGACCACAGCTTCCAATTTGTCATCTTTATTATCTAAGCGCTTTGTCGATGGCGACATGATTTCTTTGAACGCGGCAGCGACATCATGAATTTGTATGAGTTTGACATAAAAGAAGAGGAAGAACCTTATCTGTCGCCAGAAAAATAGAAATAGATCTAATCTGGCCACAACCACAGCCGTCGCGTAGCCCGGTCGTCGCCAAAATAATTATCTACATAAGAGTACGTGTTAAAATAATTTGACAGCTGTGGTTTGTAGCTCGTCGTTTTCATTGTGTTCGGGCTATAAGATTTTATAGCAGCCTGGCTATCAGAATAGATAGCGTTAGGCCTTCCTGTAGGGCGGAGGTTATGAGCGACCGCGCCGCCTCCATTATGGCATTTAGCTCTGCTTGAAAGATGCTGTAATGGTCCGGTAAGCAAAAACTGAGGCTTAGCGCGGGTTCGTCAGAGTAAATCCCGCTAACCACTCTTTTGTTAAGCTTGAAACCATCTGTATATATGGCCGTAGACCCTGGGTACAAGTCTGTGGCCCCGTCCCATTCGTTCCTCTCTGGGATTCTTGTGGAGAATTTGTTGTCTAAACAGAGTAGGGGAGTGGTATAATCCAACTGTCGTGGATTATCCGATAGAGTTTCAAGTACTTTTGCGTGTCCGAAGCTGAGGTCTCTCCACGGTTGGATCGTATTTAGCCTGACCGCACTGCAGCCGGCGCCATCCGTGACGAACATGGCAGCCGACCTCTGCACTTGTTCCACCTTAACTCTGGGCAAGATGGTGTTCTCTATCTATTCTAAACGTTCAGAATTAATATAGAAATGCATCCTTTATGTTTTTTATATTTATTGAGTTTTCTATTTATGGATAGTTTGAATTAAAAGTGGAGTATGAGTTTTTTGCAGGGTTCGTATTTGCACACACATGTGCAGCACATCCTAACATTTTAAGCTCACACACGTGTGCTGTGCATATAAAAAATTAAAAATTTGCTCACATCACATGTGTGTGCCGTTTGGTAAAAAGCACGGGCACATGTGTGTATTTTATTTTTATTAATATAAAGCACATGCGCATGTATGTGCTTTGCGTAGAGAAACTTATACACTTCGATTTCTATCTCAAATCTTAAAATAATTTTTTAATATGTTTTCTGTCATATAAAAAACAAACAACATCTCACT